CCCAGGCGTTCATAAACCTGCCAGTGATGGAGTAAGAATGGATAACGAGCAAAGGAACACAGTTAACAAAAAGGAGCAGAATGCGTCCCGGCACCAACGACTACGCAGATGGGCTGAGCTGGCAGAGACCTTGGCAAGGGACATGGATAGGAGTGGGCAGCTGGTATTAGCCATCAGAAATGCACCAGTGTGGGATCGGGTGGAAGTGGCATTTCACACCTCTGCTGGGGGAGACAGATTCATGAGCAGATCTAGTGAGGCAGTTGGCATGCGGATATCATCCAGCCTGTCTGTCCGGACATGTGGAGTTCTCCACCTGAGGGCACCTCCAGGGCTTTGCCGTGCAGCCCTGCTTGCTTGCAGTCTTGCTTGGCTGGTACAGGTTGAGATCACCAACTTTGATCTTACCATTTTTTAAACTGAACCTTAACTGGAGAGAGACTGAGGCACTAAATGTATTACTTGGTCGTGTCCCTCCTCCAAAGTACATGGGGTCCCCAGTGGTTCCTCGATGGGGCTGGGAAGGGGACAGATCTCAGGTGGGACTGTTCTGGAGGCATTAATAAACTCCTACACAATCTTATTCTAGGGGGAGGAGATGTCAAAATTGAGAACCAGAAGCTGAACTTCAAGGAGAAGGCCCAAGCCAAAGTGGGTTCTCTGGACAACGTGGGACACTTACCAGCAGGAGGAACCGTGAAGGTGGGTGCAGCAAGCTCTGGCACGTCAGGGTAGGGTTTAAATTTGGTTGCTCTCCTTGTCCTGCTGTTGATGTAGTACAGCTTCTCCACCCCCAGCCTTTTATAGCCATCTACTTATTTCTGTGGCCTTTGTTGTCAACCCCAGGAGTAAGTATGAGTTGAAAAGGAGAGAGCTATGAACCAGCCCTGTGGCCTGCCTGAATGGGCTCCCTGCTAGGTGTTTACTCAGAGGGCTCGTACTGCCCATCTGCATCCTTCCTCTAAGAATGAGAGCAGGGATCGCTCTGTAAGTGATGAGCCCACCAGAGAAGCTGCCTGTGGCCCTTCCTCCTTTCATTACCCCCAGTAAAGCTGGTGAGAGCAAGGTGCTCTGTGCTGGGAGATAGCACCTTGCAGCTCTTAGGAGTTTTCAGCCCGTAACCTGTACTGCAGCCCAGCCCAAAGGCCCTTTGTGTGAGGATAAGAAAAGATTGTTGCGCGCTCATTGCTGTGATTCAGTGCTTCCCCCCATGAGAACGTAAACTGCCCCCAGCCTCAGCTCTGCAAATTGCAGGTCTCGCTACAGCAATACGACATCTGTGCTTAGGGGGGGGAAATTACCCCCGCTTGACTGACCGAGTGATGGATGTGTGGGCTTGACCTATCACGCCACGTAACGATTAGAGCAGTGCTGGGGATTATGTTTAGGTAGTCACTTCTGCTGGGGCTTTTATGTGAAACACCGCTGCTTCTGAATTGGCTGGTAGTGCTGGAAGCGGAGAAAATAATCCTGTGCTCCGGCATCAGAACTGTTAAAATATGACTTAGTCTTTGCCCCCAGCAGGATAGACAGATGGAGGAGAAGAAACCCCTTCTAAACACTGAGCTCCCTTGGTTGTCCCAGCATTGTTTTGTTTGAGCACTTTTGTGTTGTGGAAGGGTTTAGAGTTCAACTGGGTTGAGCTATTGTGTTAAATGCCGTGTGAATTTGAAAGAAATAATCCCTGTCCTAAAGAGCAGATCATGCAGCAGAATTCAGAAGTATATTTAGTATGTGCTTAATCATCCCCATTAAAACAAGGCAAGAGGTGACTGCCAGAATATTTGCTGGGGACACATCAGGACTTTCCTATCTCCAGGCCTTTATGTAAACTTCAGCCTGTCAAATTGGGGCTCAGTGAAAAGCTGAAAGGAACTAGAGAAGCTGCTGGTGTGTTGGCAGGGATAGGGAACTTTCTGTAACAGTGCCTGGCTGTTCCAGTTTACTGGAGTGTCTAGTCCATGTACCAGTGCTATTTGCTGGTAACTAGGGTTTTCATTGAAGTTCTAAAATCTTACCTGTTCAGAATTAGTCTGACTTTTAAAATATTTTTCCCCCATCTCCACAGGTGCAGAGAGTCTCTGTCGATGACTCATCTGGTATTTTTTGGGGCTCTAATATTTAGCCTTGCAATACAGAGACCAAATCATTTCCCTATGGCATGCCACAGATCTCAACCAGTGCTGTCGTCAGAGCAGGGGCAGGTGGCACTTAGGGACTGGCACACACATTCAAGAGGGCTGGCTGCTCTTGCTCAGCTACCCTCTGTGGTTCTCATGGAGGTGTGGGGATCATCAAAGTCTCTGTAGTTCCTGCAGAAGCATCTAGGTATCAGTGTTGCTGTCAGTTCACGGGTGGGAACTTGGACCCCAGAAGGAAGGCCAGGTGGTTTTGCTGCTTGTTGAGTAAGCAGGTACGGAGCCAGTCCATGGCTGTCTCGCATTGCTACCTGGGCTGCAGGGAGAGGGCCTGACTTAGTCTTGAGAAGAGTGCAGCAGCCTTATTCCCCATGGATAAGACTTTGTGGGGCAAGGGCATGGGGTAAGAGCAGAGGTGCTTTGGACTGGAGGGTGCCACCCTCTCCCCGTACTCCTCCCTACTGAACGTGGCAGCAAGGGGATGTCCTGGCTGGATGGGTTCCTCCTTCCCGGGGCTGAGCTGGTCCAGCGTGGCATCTTCTCTGCTTGACGTGCCCTGCAGTGTTGGACGTGTCTGAATGTCTTTCCAAGCAACTCTGCATTACTCTCAGCAGGGTCCCACCAGCATATTAGTTTCTTCTCTAATGGCGGTAGGACTTAGCTCTTCTCTAAGGCTCGTAGAAGTTGGTGACTCCAGGTGGGATGACCAGCTGTGGTAGGAGAACAGACCAGGACAGAGTCTTCTCTAAAGACTGCACTCCCAGTTCATAGTCCAGCATCAGCATCAAGTGAGGATGAGGTCCTTTGTGCAAACTTGGCCTTTCTGTTCTGGGATCCACTATGTATCATTTGGGTCTGGTATATAAATGTGTCCCCAAATAATGGAGACTGCTTCAGGGCGATGTACCCAAACCACCTGCTTGCTTTTGACCCCGTAGCGCTCTGCTTTAGTCCTGTCAACGTGCCTTGGTGTGCCTTTGCCTCGGCTGTCCTCCGTCAGCAGGATGTTACAGGCGTGCGTTTGGGGAGAGGGTGCTGAGCTCTGGACCCTGTGGTCAGGGACATGGCAGCCATGCTCAGATGAGCTGGCAGGGAGCAGCGCGGGGCCGATGGGTCTGCAGGAACCAAAGCGCTGTGAGAAGCTGGAAAGCTGCTCAGGACGGTGGCTTCCCAGGGAGCGGAGGGGCTGCTTCCCGCTTCCAAACACCCCCTTGTCCCTGCATGTGTCTCGGCAGCTGGGGAGGGCAGAGGGGGCTCCGGGAACCCACATTTCACCCCCCTGCACTCCCATCTTCTATTGACTCGTCCCTGTCATCCTCCCCACCCCATTGTCTCATTGTAGGCTGAGGGGAGCGTGGAGCCAGGGCAGCTCCCGCCAGCCCCTCAGAACGGAGAGGTGACAGCGGCCCAGGCAGGCAGTGAGATGCGGGAGAATGGCGTAGGGCCGGCAGTGCCCACTGCCCTGAGCGGTGGTGACCAAAGGGAAATTCAGAGCTTCGAGACTCAGATACAAGAAACAAGTAAGTGCCTGTGCCTTCTCTCTACACACTCTGCCGGGTGGGGTGGGGAGAGCACTGCAGCAGGGCAGAGCAGCCGCCCCTGGGCACTGGTCACACCGCTGTAATCTGAACTGTTTGTATCGATGTCTGTAGGGGTTTTTTTGCCTTTTTTTAATTCAGAAAATTGCCTTTTATTTTCCAGGCATCTAATGATGACATTATGGTATCGTCTTCCATTCCCCTCCTGTCCCCTCTCTCCTCCTCTTTCCTCCTCCTGCCCTTCCCCTTCTCACCTGCCCTTGTGTCGCTGCAGATTGAATCTCACAAGCTGACGTTCCGTGAGAAGGCCAAGGCTCGAACAGACCACGGAGCGGAAATCGTCGTCTCCAAACCCCCCAACCTTTCCAGCAGCACTTCCCCCTGGCGTAGCACATCCGTCAGCGAGAGCCTGGGCTCAGTCGCCTCCTTGTCACCGCTGCAACAGCCAGCTCCCCTTGCAGCGCTTTCTCAGCAAGGCTTGTGACCCCTCCCAGCCCCGACTCCCACGTGCTCCCCAGAGTAACGCAGCTTGGCTCTCTTAACTCAGCGTCTGGCTTTAGATGGGAAGGGGACAGTGTTTAGCAGGGCTAGCGTCCCTTTCGGCCGCTCTGACTCCTCGAAGCATCCTGGAGGCTCGCCCCTGCCCGAGCGTGCCGGGCTCTGGTGGTCCCTCTTTGGCTGGAAGGGGCTTCCTTCCCTCTCCGCGCCTTGTCCCTTTTGCTTTTAAGGGGATGCTAGAGTGAGTGTTAGTGTCGTGTTTCGGGGACGGGCATCTAGTGACTTCCAGGCTGTGTCTCGCTGTCTCGAGCAGTGGGGAGATGCACACCGAGCCTGGGCGGCGGGTGGCTGGGTAGGAGCAGGCCTACGCTGCTGGTGGCTGAAGCCAGGCCGGAGTTAATAGGGATAAGCTGTGATCTTTCTGTCTTTTTTTTAAAAAAAAGAAACGACCTTTTCCTCCTTGCCGCTTCAGTTTCTGCTGATCCTGTTTGATGATGATATATATTATACGCACGTTAGGCTATTTTAACTGTTGACTTTAACCTTTTATTCTTTGTGACGATGTGTTGATGATTTATCGTGCTACAAACCCATGCTAAGTTTCCTTTTCTCTTTCCTTCTTTTCCTAACCGTAGGAGAGTAGAGACATTAACCGCTGCTGCAGTGCTGGCTTCTTACTGACATATCCAGCAATTGTAACTTTTTTGTTGTTGGGGTTTTTTTAAATATTTTAAAAAGATGGAGCAAATTCATGGGATTAAGCCACGTCTGAAATGAAAGGCACAAGACTGTGTTAAAGGAAAACTTGCTGTAACAGATCAGATGAAGCCTGTGTTGACTGCAACGAGACGTGTTGAATCGATGCTTGGAAAACCTCCTGTAGGGCCAAACCGCCAGCCCTGGAGGATGCCTAGGACCTTCTGTGCATTAGCAAGGCAAAGCCGGCTTATTTCTTAACTTGCACAGCCAAAGCCCTGGGATTTATCTTTTTTCGGCCAGGGCCTGAGGTCTGGAGGAAAGGCAGGAGGCTGCTTTCACGGTGGAGTTGCAGGTTAACACAGGCCATGAGTTCCAAGGCAAAAGCAGGTTTGTGGTGTGTGTGTGTGTTGTTTTAACAGAGGCTGATGTATGGGTAACCGTATTGTCAGGCTGAGCAAGTCTGGTGGGAGGCCAAGATGGGAAAGGCCACCTCTCATCCAGGGTGTGAGGCAGGGGTAGCAGAATGTCTGTGGAGGGCTGAGAGGGAGGCAGAGCCCTTGGCTGGGGCAGGGGAGGCAGGTTTCTAATGCCAGGGAGTTGCAGCTCTGACTAGGAAGGAGATTTACGTACTCCTTGAGGTGTGAGCTCCTCGTTTCATGTTGCAAATGACACTAAAGAAATGAAATGTAAATAAATTAAAAAAAAAAAAGGGGTTTTGGGTGGGTAAACCTAATTTAAG